AAATGCTCTTTCCTGTATCCTGTAATAAGTTTCACACCCCTATAGTTGGTAACCCTTCTCAGCCTGAAAGGTGGAGAGCTTTTCCACTGACTCATCTTGATGGGTTTCACCCAGCGGCTCATGAAGCTGGTGGCTCTCCTGTCATAGCCCTGGGAGGAGCTGGGAGGGGGTAGGGGCCTTGTTTCTCTGATTGGGTTATTGGGGTTCCCCTGCCTGGCATTGTGGCCCTTCCTGTTTGTGGAGATGGGCCTTTCATGGGCTGATCTTGTGATAACCTTGGCAGCAGCCAGGCCAGGGGGCTCATTTCTCTCAATTAGGTTATTTGGGTTACAGCAGCTGCCATCATTCCTGTGTGCTCCCTTGTGTTGGTTGAGATCAGCCTTTTATCACACGCCCTAACATTACCTACCAGAGGTGACTGTACCTCCTGTGCTCCTTGCACAGCAGTTCATAGATATTTATCCCCTAGAAGGGCTATGTTCAGGGAGCAGATAGCTCAGTACTGCTGCAAAGGGCTCCTTAAGCCCTCAAGGGGGCTTGTAGGTCTTGGCAGACAGCACTTAAGATATCTCAGATATAAAACTTCAAAAGCAGTGATGGTTATTCTGGTAATTATGGCTGTCCAGGTGATTGGTGTGGTAGTTGTTTTCTAAGGGAACATTTGAAATCTCCCCAATCACACCCTCTGGAGATAGTAGCAACAAGTTCATAACAGCTCTGTTAAGCCTCAGCTCATGCAGCGAGGAGCGTCCCATCCATTGTATTCGTTCTGAACTTCATAGCTGCTGTTGAATTCTGTCACAGTTTTGCATAATGGCTTAGATGCCTGTCTGCTCCAGTTTATTTGTAGATGAATTCCTGTAGTCAGTTTTTCCTGGATAAAAGAGTGCCAGAACAATTGAAACGGCTGCTTTTAGTATGAGTTTTAAGGGATTCTGGTGACTAACACATTGGTTAATGAGACGTTTTCAGGGTTGTCTCATTCTTGCAGAAGATGGTAGCATCTCCCCACACACCCATGGTCCTAGAGTAAGCCATTCCCCAACTGACATGGTTCAGGTGCACGAAACCTTCTGTGTTTGTTGGGTCCACTCTTCCGAAAGAGTTTGTGTTCCAGTTTGTATTTCCCTGTCTCAGTTAAAAGGATCTTGTGCTAAAAATCATGAGCCATTTGGGGTGTGGCCTTCTAATGCTTCCCCATGTTATCACACAGTCCTACACTCACCCACCCACTCTCCAGTCCTGGTTGCTGTAGTTGCTCACCAGTCCAAGTGCCATTTCCCACCTGTTTGACTGGAAGACACTTCTTTTACAGCCTTTCTAAACAGTTGTCTATGCGTGTCTGAAAGCCCATCTTAATTTTGTATCTTCTGGTAAGCCTCAGACCTGTAACCCTCGCAGCCATAGGTGTCCTTTGATATCCCATATCATACAGGACTTCATTAGAGGCTAATGGTACTTGTGTACAGGTGGTCTCCCAAGTCACCTTGGTTAGAGTCATAGGGATGGATTGCATAATTCCTATTGCAACTTTTAGTGTTTCCATTCCTAGTGTGGCTGTTAATGTGGCATTAGACTTTAAAACCTGTCTGGAGGCTATTCCTCCTCTCTTAAGGAGCCCTATAGCTTTCCTATAGCTTCTTGAAGGTGGTTAGTATGGGCAGATGTAGGCAATTTCTTCTTCATTGCAGACCCCCAGAGCCATATTGCCTGGTTTTCATAACCAGTTGATTACGTTGTGCATTTTACATTTCAGAAGGGTGATTTGATATGAAATAGTTCTGGCCAGGTCCAATGCCTGGTGCTTTCAGCTGCCTGAGCAGCTTTAGTACAATTAGCGCAGAGTGATCCAATGAACCATGAGTCTAGTCTGAATTCAATAGAAAAATCAATGCTATTTGCTGGTAGCACTACTGGAGCCTTTATCTTGGTCTGCTGCCACAACAAGCAGACCCTAATGATGAGGCACTGGTTAAACTTTCTCCAGTTTTCCTACATTTTCTGAGCCTTTCACAGGGCCTAAATGATGCATCATTTTTCTCAGGACTTCATTTCTTCCTGTCTCCGTGTGGTAGGTAGAGGTCAACCAGAGCTTAAGGTTCTCGAAATATCTGTTTTGAGTCCTGTCTCTACAGACAATAGTAGGAAGTAGGTATAGCCTCAGCTTTCAGGATGCTCTGTCTTTGAATCTTACTACATATTATTATAAATTTATAGAATCGCTTCTCTCAATAAATGTTAATACAAATTAATAGAAAGCTGTGATTCACAGCAGTTGCTTCTTTCTATTAAACAATATCCATGCCAGAGAACTAGGGTGGCTGCTTACAAGTTGTTGCATGAATTTTTCATCTTCCTTTGACATTTGAACACTTTGGTACAATTTTCTGTAACAAAGATTTTGTATACATGTGTAATCAATTCAGTATTGAAACCCTGCCCTCTTGGAAAGCTCCTGGCATTATGCTGGATGTACAGGTTAGCACTTCAGGCATGATGATCCTTAACTCATACATACAGAGAGTTGGATGAAGAGGGCTGTTGGAAGTCCGTGAGGTCTATTCCAAAATCCTATGATTTTCCTTTCCCAGAGCAAGTAACAGTTTTGAGAAGGAAAATGGATAGCCTATTCTAAGTCACTGTAGGTGTACATAGGCTTTTCTAATTAACTCCTCTTCATACTGCTAATTATGGGAGTGAAGGAAATGTTATTTGGTTTCCAGGCTGAGACTGACATTTCAGACAGCCAAAGCCACTAACTAGGCAAAATACTCTTAAGTACATCTCAAAAGAACAAAAACTTTTTGATCTTTCATAGCAAAGTTTTTGTTCCCCAGTAAAGCAAGACTGTGGAAGTCTGGCTTAATGCATTTAAAGAAGCTGAAAAATCTAAGTGAAGTTTCTTCCCCTAAAGCAGGAAAATAAAAATTAAATGAAGTGGAAGAAAAATATTGTATATAATAGTATTCTGAATCTTACATCAGCACTGTCTGCAGCTGCTGTTCACCCTTTGTGATTCTGTGTCCTACTATTTTCTGCAGTCTTGAATAAAAGCAAAGCCAAATCTGTCAAATTCTGTATTGGGAATATTTGGTATAAAAGTTTAAGAAAAGTTTGAAAAGGATAAATAGAGAAAAGGTCTTGTCACCTATCTGGATCTGGTTTTAGGTAGAAAAGACTACTCTTTATATTAAATGTAAATCAAGGTGGTGCTGCAGGCACTAAGGAATGCATTTTCTTACATATTTACATATGTTTTTATCTTCCTAACCTCTCTCATCATTGTAAAAGAAAAAGTGCTGACTGTGTTTCTAACTCAGACAGTTTTTATCATGTGTGAATGCCTTTTAGGGTGCAAAGAGATTAAGTCCTATGGTTTCTGAAAAAACAGGATTTTTGCAAAACAAAGAAGATACTTATTGAACAATTTTAAAGAACTAAGTCTCATACTTTATTACAGTTTATTCTACAGTTAAGATACATGGCTTCATGACAGAATTTTTTACGTATATTGTTTTACTTATTGGAAGAGATGCTCTGAACTCTTTTTTGCTATTTATTGTTTACTATTGCAGTAGTTAAAATATAAAAATAAATGCAATGGAATTAAATTAACTTCTTACTCTTCTTATAATCTATTCAAGGAGAAAAAAGATTTGCTTTATGATAGCTGTGGGAATTCATTCTAATTATTTTAAATCTAAGCTAGCTTTCCAGGTTAGGTGTTGAATTTAATAGGTGTACTCACTATTGGCCCCCTCCAGTATATAACTGCACTAATACTGATTGAAATGGCAGTTAATATTATATATATATAAAAGATTAACTGGAGAGGGTGCACATTGTTACATTTTTAAAAGCCTCACAGTATTTGATAGCAAATGTTATTTTTTTTATGAGTGCTGTAACAAGTAGAAAGAATTTTAGAAGGGAAAGTTGTGCAATCCAAAAATTCCTCTGTCAAATCCTGTGCTAACTTGACAGTGGAAAAAGATATGACAGTCAGCATTTTCAATGATAGATCATAAAATAATAAGAGATCCCTTGTCAAAGATTTAGGGCTTCATTCTGCCATGTTTTGTGCAGTTTGGTCTTTATCTCGTAAAATTATTTAACTCTCAGAGGAACAAGCTTCCTGAAACCTAGGTAAAAAGGCAGTATGTGCCTGTAGATTTTGCTGAATCAAGGCCAGCAAACAAGCACTTTGTAGGAGTCTGCTTTTTCTGCACATTCAAATTATCTGTGTGAGAAAGACTGAATCATGTGAAAGAACAGTTTGATGAAGGTGTTGCATAGGAAGAAACTGATTTCTCCTTTACCTGGAGTTGTGAACAGTACTTCCAGTATGATGCTCATCACGGCTGCGATTGTGACATCCAACTGCACTAGGGATACTGTCCCTTTTCAGGAAAATACAAATCAATGGCAGTTTGCTGCCCAAGAGCTAAAAGAAATACTGTAGTTCCTGTTAGTAATTAGAATAAATGTGTTTATTTGCATAATCTCAAACTGACCTAAACAATAAAATGGGTGTTAGCAAACTAAAATAACAGTTATGATGGGAATTCTTCCATAAAGAGGTCTGACAGGTGGAGAGAATTAGAAATAGTTCTGATGAAGTGCCAGATGCTCCCTCCCAGTCCTCCCAAAAGACAGGGAAAAAAGCAGCCCTTAAAATAAATAAAATAAATTGAATTAATAGAAAACTTGAGCTTAGCCTAAGAATTAGAGGCTCATAAAAAGTTCAATGCAATTATCTTGTTCTCGGTAACTGGATACTGGGAAACTGGGTACTGCTAACGCATGCGTCTACAGAGGATATTGAATGCTATCCATTTGGAAGATTTATGATCAAGCTATTCATTATATATTAAGCCAAACAAACACGGTTTTGCAGGTTTATTGTTACTGATGTAGTGTTTATTCTGTCAATATCTCATAAGGGGATATGGAAGACAATATTTGGCTATTTTTACTAACTTAAATGTTTTTGCTTTTAGTTATTCAGATATTCTGATTGAAAGGGAGGTGTTAATGCAGAAGTATATTCATCTCGTCCAGATTGTAGAGACTGAAAAGATTGCAGCCAATCAGCTTCGACATCAGCTTGAAGATCAAGACACAGAAATTGAAAGACTTAAATCTGAGGTATGTGCCAGAGTCATCAAACAATCATTGAATAGTAACATTTTGCTGTGTGCTTTGCAATAATATTCAATATTTCTGCAATATTTGTGAAAATAACGGAACCCAGTAAGGTTAATATGTAATAGTCCCCCTATGAGACTATTAGAGATGTTTGAAATTACGCAAATAAATATGTAATAGTCCCTCTATGAATCCTTGGCTAAATATTTTCCTTAGATATATTGGGGACTGATAAACTGATTGGATTACTTCTTTGTCAGAGAATTTAACATGACACGTTGCCTTGCAGTATGGGTCCCATTGATTGTATTATTTCCTTCTTGCCTTCACACGAGGAGTTTGATCCTTGACACATTGTCTTTGGTTGTGGCAGTATTGTGGACTATTCCAGACGGCTCTATTTCACTGAATGTTAAAAATTTTGTTGCAGTCCTGAGCTGTTAAGGTCTGAAAGGCCTGCTTGGTTTTGAGAGGAGAACAAGCTCTCTTTTGATCCCTTCTCCACCTGGATCAAGAGCCTTGCTGGTTTTCAGAGAACTGTGTTCATGTCCCTGTGACCAAATACGTGCTTGTCATAGAGCTTGTCAAGCTTTAACAGGCTTGAAGAAGGAGAAAATATTTTTCTGTTAGTTCTGTAACTAAAAGTTTCATTAACTTGAGCAAGCATTTAATGAATGTTTGTTTTTGTCAGATTATAGCTCTCAATAAAACAAAAGAAAGAATGCGACCTTATCAAGGCAACCAGGAAGATGAGGATCCAGATATTAAAAAAATTAAAAAGGTAAACATGCAGTATTCTGTGCTTAAGAGGAGAAGGATGGGATGAGGGGTGTACTTCTGTTTTTTAGTCTGTCTAGTTTTGTCTCTATTTATTTTCATTAACTACAGTCAAATAGCAAGATTCCTTTTGCCCTGCCCCTACTTAAACCTCTTAAATTACATCCGCTTCTTATGTTTCAGTGCCACATTTATCCCATGGTGTATTTGTTACTGAAGTATTCATTTTTACTTGCAAGGTATATATTCAGTTTCTTAAAGAAGCTTGCACATTGCATTGAACCGCTTGTAAAGATTGAAATTAAGTCATGGGCTATGTCCATGTGGGAATCAAGTGTATAGTGACTTTATACTCCTTTCTTATAAAAATGCTTATAAAGATATAAGAGAATGACTTGTATTCTGTCACTGCAGCTGGAATACAAATATTGAAAATGCAGAGAGCAGTCTTGGTTTAGGTTGTCAGCTGGTCTGTTTGATGGTGATTGTTCTGGGATACTATGGCCAGTGTTTTTAATAACAGAGACAGAATTATCCCACTTGGTATGGCATTTACATGTGCAGCTTTTGGTAATATTGCTTAAGGCTGGATATAACCAGCCTCCAGAACTGTGCCCATTGGTGACTCGACAAATCCTAATGCACAAGTATGAATGGAATTCATGCTTGAAGATGTGGTCCTGTATGTGTCACCCTTATTCTCACAGTGTCCAGCCTCTTAAATTGCATAATATCCTTTACGGTATATTGACTTAGTTTCTGACTTTTTCTGGGTCACACAGTCTGAGTCAGGGTCAGCACTGAGCTGGTACCCTTGTGTGAATTTTCCTTTTCGTGTAGATTAAACATTGTAATAGAAGCTGGAAATGTCTCTTTTAGTAGGAGGAGAGCTCTGATTCTGTGTTTAATTCCCTGCATTCGACATCTTGATTGTTTTGACCATTGGGCCCTTTTTTTAAAGTTGTTTATTCAGAGTAAACTACTACCAGTGAGATTTTGCGTTTCTCTTTCAAGATGAATGATCTTCACATGAAGATCAGGGCAAAGACATACTGAAATTTTCTGTGACCCGATGTAGACCTTCTCTGTAATCTTTAATCCACTTGTAACTTCAATGGATATTATGCTTAAGTAGATTTTTCCATGACATAGAGATACTTTTTAAGAATGCCAAAAATCTGCCTTTTCTCGATAATAGTATTGCTGGCCTAGGTGTCTGATACTAAGCAGTATATTGATACTTAGCTTTAAATACACGTGCTAAGTGGTATCTATTCAAAACAGAAAGCAAACTGAGTTTAACAGCTATTTTAGAATTATGTCAATAATGATCTTGAGTCTGTCTTGAAATGTGTTACCTGGAAGTGTTGCACAATACTTTTGGGAGTATAAGGAAAATGTATAAGGGGGGCAAACGGAGTTAAAAACCCTCCACAGTGCATAGCACAGTTGTGCTGATAGGAAGAGTATATACAGAGGTACAACATTTGAGCTTGCAGTAAAAGGTACCTGGATATGTATGTGATATCTTTTCAGTCTGTTTCCTGGCAACAAATATGACCAAGTGATTGTGGGAATTTCATTAGCAAACAGAAATCTAAAAAAAATATAATTCAGGAACAGTTATAGATCAGAAAAGGCAACAGACTATTTTTTTTTTTTTTTAACAGAGGCATTTCATTTAGAGGGTTATTTCTACAATGAAGAGCTTACAATAAGTTATGTAATGTTTTTTCTCATTCTTCTTTTCTGCTTGGTCCATTTTTAGGTTCAGAGCTTTATGCGGGGCTGGTTATGTAGAAGAAAATGGAAAACTATTGTCCAAGATTATATTTGTTCTCCCCATGCAGAAAGTATGAGAAAAAGGAATCAGATAGTTTTTAACATGGTGGAGGCTGAATCTGAATACGTGCATCAACTTTATGTTCTTGTGAACTGTTTTCTGCGGCCCTTAAGAATGGCTGCAAGTTCAAAGAAGCCACCTATCAGTCACGACGATGTTAGTAGCATTTTCCTCAACAGGTATGGGGTTTTTTGTTTGTTTTTTGGGGGTTTCTCTGACTGCTTCTTCCTATTCTGCTTCAGTTTACAGTAGTGAGGTCTGGCACTTGGTTTTTTGCTTTTTTTTTGCTCTAATACAAGTAATGTCACTGAGCTAGACCATATTTCCAGGGGCAGAAGGCAAGGTGCTGTTGGTGATGCTGTTTGAAACCAGCTAGACCTCTTTGCCTCCTTACATTCTATTTCGTTCTCTGCTAGAGGAAGAAAAGGACAAATCGTGCCTCTTGGGGCAGTTCTCATAATTTTCTGTCACCTTTCCTGTTTCTTTTTCTCTTAAGAGAGCAAAATTGGACTTAGTGGCCTTGTATGATCCAGATAAGACCCTGAGGATGAGTACGTCAAATCTTCTATTTTCTGTTGTCCTGCCTAAGGAGCCTCCTTCCCTCTCACTTGTCTTTTCATGTCCTAAAAAAAAGAATCATTCTTTGCATTAAGCATCCAAGTACTATTATAACGAATATGTACAAATAAACCAGCAGGCATCTAACATTTCATACAGGATTGGGATTGCATCCAAGTCTGCCCCAAACTTCTAAGAAATAGAACAAGTTCCTTTAGTTATGAGACAGGTTTTGCTTTCATAGCTCATTCATGGTCACTGCACTTTTCATGGTTTCTCTTACAACTGGGATGTCCCCTACTTCTGTTGATCTCATAAGCTAAAATACAATATTAAGGTTCATGTTGTAGAAAAGTTGTAAGCTTCAGATCTTAAACAGCAGTAAGCGAGAAAGTAGATGATGACCACTGGCTTGATGTTTCTGCATCTTACTGTTCCTCTTAAACTAATGAATGCATTGTCAAGGATATTCTTGAAAACCTATTCATTAAACTCGGTGGAACACGTTATTTAATAGATGCTTTTATTTAAAAGAGCTAAACAGTTAGAATATGCTTCCTACACCAAATACTATATATTTTTTAGACATATTACACTAAAAATTTTAAACAATGCAATAAAAAGAAGCACTTACTTCCATAATAATAACTATCTTCTTTTTTTTCTAGCAAAGTGCAAAACATACTACTAACGAGGAAGAGATGTTTCTCTGTGAATTACTAATCAGAAAATAAAACCTGAATTGTTTATTTTTTTTTTTTGTTTAAATACTTGTTTTTCAGTGAAACAATCATGTTTCTTCATGAGATATTTCACCAAGGCTTAAAAGCAAGAATAGCTAATTGGCCTACCTTAATACTAGGTAAGTTACTGTATTTTCTCTAGGGGTACAATTTTCATATTTAATTCTGAAATTACAGTAAGGTCTTTTTTTTTTAAAGACAGGACTTTTTAAAAGTCTTTTTGAATGTAATGCATTTCCAGAAGTAACACCACAAGATATGGTGTAGTGGGAGTCCCATGTGGGCAGTAATGACTGTCTTCCAGTCCATATATGTGAATGCCTCTGCCCTAAGCATTGATTAGATATGGGCCCCTGCATTTTCAGTGATATTGTCTGATTATTAGCTAATCAGAACAACCATGTTTTGGCAGGTGAAATAGCCAAGTTTAACGTTTCTAAAATCTCAGTGTATTGGAAACAAAACTGATTATAGTAATTCACTTCCATAGAACATAGTAGTTTCTTTAAAAACATATTTCAAGAGATGGGTAACTGGAAAAAAAAAGCATTTCTTGACTTTTTCTAGCTGACTTATTTGACATTCTGCTGCCAATGCTGAACATATATCAAGAATTTGTTCGGAATCATCAATATAGTCTACAAGTACTGGCAAACTGTAAGCAAAACAGAGATTTTGACAAACTCTTGAAGCAATATGAAGCCAACCCAGCATGTGAGGGGCGAATGCTGGAAACTTTCCTTACTTACCCCATGTTTCAGGTAGTCTCTGTATATTTTTTGTGACTGTTTTTAATGTTTGGTTGATTCATTTTGTGTTACTGACATTACGATTGATTGAAGATTCTTCTTGCTTAACTAAAAATACAATGCAAATTAATTTAGTTTTAATTTATTTCATTATTATACTGAAACTCTGCCTGCAGAGATCTTTTCTCCAACAATACTGATTCATCTGTATTCAGAATCTTATGTATGTTGAAGGGAAACGTGGGATGAGGACTAGGGCCAAAAAGCTGAGAAACAACTGCTTGACTTCTCCCTGCTGCAGGATTATGAAGCAGTCCAGAGAGGGATAATATACTTGGTATAGCAAGTTAGAGCAGCCACAGGCATTTTACTAGGAATACATGTTAAAACTTTAAAAAAAAAAAAAAAAAAAAAAAAAAAAAAAAAA